CTGCATCATCTGGCACATCTGCCTGGCAGGATCCGCAACGGGCAGCTTTCAAAGCTACTGCTTACAGAGGCTAAGCTGCCTTTATTGCAGGTCACACACCCTCTCAAACAGCAGTGGATTTAAATGCCATAAAACCCATGGTCTAACACACCCTGGGAGTTTCCCACCACCCCCTATGTGTCACGAAAGCATCCCTCATTGTGCTGGCTGAGGGGATCTCTCTAGGGATCCTTTGCCAGCGGTGCTCCATGTGTCATTCAGCAGCCAAGCAAACCACAGCACCCCACAGCCCCATCTCTCTGCTTCTCTGCTGTTCACACATCACTTCTGTGGCTGCCTTGCTTTATTTTTCTGGCAACGGAGGAAAAAATAGCTTGTGTGAAAATTATTTATTTTGTATTAATGGCTCAGAGTCAAAGCCTCAGCAGACACTTGGAATAAACAGGATCACTCCAAATACAGTTGTTTGAAATCAGAGCTGTGCTCTGACCCTGGAGTTTCTAACCAAAGCCAGGAAAACTGTGTATATAGAATCCCTTATTATTTTTCCCCCTATTACTCCACAGTACAACAGGCCTTGCTTGTAGCCAGAGGACTTTGACCAGGATGATTAAGCCAACATTTCATTTAGCCGGTCATATGCATGGTTGTATAGGTGGTTAAGGCATAAAATAATCACCCCTATCTGACTAATAACCCCCTTTATGCTTCCGATCCAGTTAGTATTCAAGCACATCTCACTTCTCCTCAGCCATTCCTCTCCTTTCATTTCCCCTCTCAAAAATATGTATTTTAAGTGTGGGCAGCTGTCAGGTGAAGAACTGTATTTTGGGAGAAATGTTCTGGATTTGTTGTCTTGAGGGAAACCAGCACTTTTGTTTTCACACTTACCTTCCTCTTTGTTTTGTTTTCTTTCACTTCTTGTCCAGCACAGTCAGTTTTCCAGACAGATAAAAGGAAGAAAAAGGGGAAATAAAACAACGAGTGAGTCAATGTCTTTATCTGTGTTCAGCATGGTTTTCCTCCCTTCTCCTTTTTTCCACCAAATAATAGAAATATTCCCAGCTGAGAATTAGGGCACCTCAGCTCATTTCAGCTATTGTGCAATACTGAGCACATCTGTTAATGAATGCAGCTCTTCAACTGTGGTTAGCCCTTGCTCCTGATGGATTAATTAAGGATCAAAAAGGAAGAAGATTCTAAGCAGGGCTTAATACAGACCTTGAGAAACTCAGCTTTGAGTCTACAGGCTCCTTTACTGACTCTGAAGCATTCGTGTAGCTAATTTTTGTCTCATTTCTTTGTGAAATGGGCATTGTAGATGAGACGCCCCGGGCTAAGTGTATGGGGTCCCTTGCACTGTCTTGCACCACAATGGTGCAGGCAAAGTAGAGACAACGAGGCAGGGATGCTCCAGGAGCAGCTCTGACAAAGGTACCCCAACTTTTCTCCCTTTGAAAAGCTTCATTATTCCACCTCTGGGCCATGATGAAAAAGCTTTCATGGGGCAAGCACTGGCTTTGCCTGTCACCCCCCTCCAACCTCGCAGCATGCCTGACAAAGGCAGCTCCCGCAGGGTGGGCAGCCAGGCTGCTGAACCTTCGCACTTGCTACAGCTCTTGGAAAGTCTCAGCTAGAGGCTTTCCCGATCCCAGCCGGCTGCTATAATCACACATTGTTCCTGGTCACTCCTTGTCATTTAGCAGCACTTGGAAAATGTCAAATGTGGGAGTCCGGCAGCCTTAGGTTAGAGTAAAAACTCCCAAACATATTTGGAAGGCTGCCAGCACTTTGCAAACCCTCTGCAAACTCAGATAAGGGGCGACCTTGCTGCCTGCGGGCTAGGCCAGGACTTTATAAACCCTCCATGTGCTTGGGTTGAGCTTTCTCAATATTGTGATCATCCCGTCCCCTTCCAACATCGCTTGGTGCAAAGGGCTGGCGATGGTGACCTTTGCTGAGATATCTGGTGCTCAAGGGGGAAGAACCTGTTGGAGATGTTGACATCCAGAGCCAGTGGGGACAGGACCCCCCCAATGCACAGGGAGGCAGAGGGTGCTTGGGTCTGGATGTGTGAGCAAACCCAGTGCCTGGTTTTGTTTGAGCTGAAGGTTACAGCTGTTGTCCCAAAAACTCCTTTGGGTTTGCAGCAAATGATGGTCCTAAAAGCGCAGTTGGGGAAGGTTGGTGAATGCTGCTTGGCAAGGAGGGGGAGGAAGGGTTGAGTTTGGGGCTTCATTCTGAACCGTAACGAAATCTAAACATTTTGAAATTCTTCCCTAAATGACAAATAATGTCAAATACTGAGATAGCACTGGGCTGGATTTGAGCAGCGAGGCACCTTCTTATATTCCTAACTTCTGATAAAAAGGATGGAACAGAGTCAGGAAAACTTTCCTCTCCTTCCCCTCATTATTTTTCTTTTCCTTTTTTTTTTTTTTTTTCCTTAAAAACACCCTCACCCTCAGTGAAAGCAGCAACATCTGAAATGTTCCAGTTTGGACGGGAGAGCCTTTTGCAGCAGGAAATGTTTCCCTCTGGATTTTCCTGGCCAACTCTGCCCGACTGCACGTCCCAGACCCACTGAAGGTTCAGCTTGGGCACTGCAGCTCAGCTCAGGGATGGGCAAAGACAGCTCTCCCCACAAAACAATCAGCTTTTGGGGAGCTTGTACCCCTGTGCATGCAGCATTGAGAAAACAACTGGAATCCCCGTTAATTAACATGGTTAACTAGCTCACAGGCAGCACAGTAGCTCTATTAATGATGGAAGTGCATTCTTAGGACAGTGTTGTTAGTCTGCTTTTTTCCCTCTCTTCTTTGCTTTAAACTCAAGGCTTTCTGCTAAAACCTCTGTGGGTCAGTTAACCAATATTTACACATTTTTGGTCCATGAATAATTTACAAGTCTTTTCCCCCTATGTATTTTTCCCTATATCCTTACCCTTAAGTGGCTGAATTATTTCTCACCCATCCATCCTTACATCATCTAGTGAATTCAGGCTCTTTTGGACCCTGTTTGCATCTTGTTGGCAGATCATACATTTTTACTTTACTTGTAAACATATTTATTTTCTCTCTGGGTCAAATAAGTCATGTGAAAATGTCAGTGTATGAATTACCTGAGACCTGTTTACCCTCTGCATCCCACCAGGGCCCCTCTGAGCTTCCCGATGTACAGCTGGTCACCTGAAACCCCACAAAAGGGTTGGGTTAAAGCAGGATAAATGGCCAGAAGAACCTTGTGTCCAATGTGGATTCTTTTTTGCTTTCACCTTCATAAGAGAGTCATGAGCTGTTTTCCTGGACAAATAAATTCTCAGTTCCCACACCTAAGCCATCTTTTGGGGCTTCTCAGCAAGTTGGGCTATCCCTGATTGTCCTTAGCCCCTCTCAGCAAATAAGAGGTTTATTGTTTGGCTTGTAAATTTGGAGGAAAATCCTGCTATTATTATGTTTTTTAGCTTCCTGTTCCTTTCTCCAGGAGCTGATGGCTCCGTGTCTCAGCCCTTTCTGGGCAAAGTGCATGGGGATAATAACCCACAGCCTATCATGACACGGAAACAACCTCTGCCTGCATTTCCTTTGGGAAAAGCAAAGAAAAGACCCATATCCTCTATCACCAGATCCCCAGATGTTTTCATCCTGAGGGGGAGATGATGCAGATGAAGCACTCAAATAGCCCAAGTCTGGGGTTTTAATTCCCTTGGACAGGACGGTAAAACCAATCCCTCATTTGGGCAGGCATGGAGGGTCTCCAAAGGGAAGAAGAGACCATCTCTAGCCAGACTCCACAGCAAACACCTGCTCTTCCCCCTGTACAGATCAGCCTGCCTTAGCCCCCTTTCGTTCTTTCTCCCTGCTCTTTTCTTCACCCCCCCTTCTCCGGGGCCATGGTGGAGCATTCAGCAGTTAATATCCTTCTGTCTCCAATTGTGCTTTAAGAGGTGTAACGTTTGATAAGCCCCATTTAACTTGGCTGTACTACATTGTTTAAATAATTCAAATACAGATTGGCTCTTTAGAAGGATTTCTGCTCTATTGACCCTGCTGGTCATGAGTTACCAGGAAGTCAGGGAGGGGCTTCTAGGGCTGAAAGCCTGAAAAAAAATCAATTCCAGGTCTTTAGTGCCCAAATCACACCCCATTATTCCCAGGTAATTGCAGACCTGCTTTGCTGTTAACTCTTTGGGAACAATACAGCCTTTTCAGGGAAGAGCGAAAGCAAGAAGTGTTTTATTCTCTGTTGGGGTGCTAACCTGCATGGACAGTGTCATGTGCTTATTGTCAGGGCTTGAATGAATAGTAATAGAGGTAGAAGTGTCAAATTGCTTGATTCCCCCCCCTTCTCTTTCTTGATACCTGGTTTCCTGGTGGTTGGTTGGACTGCAGAATTTGTAATGCAATTTTCAGTTCATATGTCTTTCTCTCTGTGTACTGATCCACCAGGATTAAGGAGTGGGGTCCTGTAATATGGTTATTCCTTATTAGCACTTGTCTTTCATGTTGGGGCCCCACTGGATCCTTTTACTTTCAGCAATGCACAGACATGTGGAAAGTCCTATGCAATAGGTTATGGAAGAGCAAGAAGAAAGATTATATCAGTCTCTTGGGGTGGCCTTGTAGGATTAGGTCAATGTAGCCAAATGGTTGGTCTTGAGCACATGATGTCCACAATGCACATATTTCATCAGGGGTTTATTCTGGGGCAGCCCTGATCTGGTCACATAGACAAGAAAGACTCATTATCACTTGTAGTGCATCTTTTGGGTTAGTTTAATTCAAAAGGAATCCAGGTTTTTAGGCACAGTTGGATGTAACAGGGAATTTCTCAAGGCTCTAAACAGAGACTAGAGTGTGGTGATGCTTCAGAAATGAGCTGTTTCAATCCCAAAAGATGTGCTTGGTTCTTTGACAGCTAGAAGAACCCAAAACTTTGCATGTCTAAAAGTGACAGCTAATAACGTCTTTTGTCTCCTTCACTGTCCTTAACAGGTGAAAGGCACCTTTGTCTTGTGATACCCTAGGAGCCAAGCCTATTAGATTTCATTAATTAGACTAGGAAGAAAGATGCAGGTAAAAATAACCCAAATCCCACCTCTGGGGTGATGCCTTCTGTCTTCATTAGAGCCCCTTCTTTAGCTCATGATTCTCCTTCTTGACATGACATAAACAGGAGCCAGGGCTAAAGACTTAAACACAGAATCATAGAATACCGGGTTGTAAAGGACCTCAAGGGTCATCTGGTCCAACCTTTCTTGGTAAAGATGTCATGTCTTTCTAAAACATGATGTGCAAACACCTGTCCTTCCTCCTTCCTGGTGCGCGAAGGATGAAAGCCACCCCCCCCATCATACCCCCTGATCCGGCCTGTGACAAAAGCCACAGCCTCACCCTGTCACCCAACCTGGCTGGGGGAGGAGATGCCAGCCTGGGTGTCAACAGGTGATGTGGAACTGACCACAGTTCTTGAGGCTGCTCAGTCCCCACCCCTTTTACAAATGGGCACCTTATCACTGGGCACTGTTTATCCAGGAACAGGGGACAGAGGACAGGGAGGAGCTGCATCAGCCTCCACACTCGGTCATGACACCAGAGGGCCAGGTTGGATGGGGATTGGAGCAACTTAGCCTAGCAGAAGGTGTCCCTGCCCACGGCACGGGGCTGGAATTGGATGGACTTTAAGGTCCCTTCCAACACAAAACAGTCTGTGATTCATTCTATAATCCAAGATGCTCAGAGTCCATCTATAAGCTGGGTGTTATCGTCTCACCTGTGAGCTCTTGGGAGACCTTCCAAGAGCCTCACTCCTCTGTAGGAGCACAGCTAACTCATACTGTGCGACACTGGAGCATCCCTGGTGCCTTTTTGAATGGTCTTCTGGTGTCTGTCTATGTTTGATTGACTTGTTAATCCAACCTGTGCATTGCATGGGGTTGGCAAGGATGAGGTGAAATAACCAGTGAAGCTTGTCTATCCTGGCCAGCTTGCAACCTTTAATTCAGCAGGTGATGTTTACCTGGTGTCCCTGTCATGAGGATCTTCCAGAGGATGATACGAGGATGATACAGGAGCCTAACTTTGGAGTGCACGAAGCTGGGGTAAATCCTGCTGGCTGTAGGCTGCAGCAAAGCCATTTACCTGTGATGCTTTGTGTCTCCAGGTGAAAGCTGTGGAGAAAGAATGTGTCTGATTACCTCTGTGCTGTTCAGAGCAGAGATCATCCCATTATGGAGTTGTACAGCAGCAGAGGAACAGTAGTAGCCTGGGGAAGCTACAACCACCATGGTGTGAGTGCAAACAGTGCCTGGAATTTGAAACAGAGTGAAGGGCAAAAAAAGTCTGTGATAATTTTTCAAGGCAAATGATTGGAACTTTCAAGGCATTTCAAGGTGGTCAGATGCTTAGCTCCCACTGAAAAGGGATGTCTTCAGATGCAGGTACCAAAATCAGTTCTCTAAGCATTCTGAAGGGCATTGAGGATATCACTTTAGAAAAGCCCAGGATACAGAGCAAGGGTATCTTAACTGAAGTTCACAGGAGACTTACCCCTATCTCCAGTTGCTCTAGAGAGGCTCCTGGGACCCTGACTTTAGACAAAGCAGAGCTATGCTCACCTCCTCCCCACTCCCTGATCAGCAAAGGGTTAAAGGGTGGGGGAGCACTTTGATTAATAGATGTCGTGTGAACATGCACATTTGCCTGTGACTGCATTCCTGGGGCTTTCGGCTGGGTGATAAGCTGCGACCAAAGTCCTCTGGCTCTGGGCAAGGAGAGCAAACAGGGCCCCAGTGGAGCAGTTATTAATTCCAGCCTTGTGTCTCCCAGGGCTGTCTCTCAGCAACGGGGCTCCGGGGAGGCCTTTCACACACCAATCGATACAGCTTGCTTTGCCCCTTGGTCTCTCCATCCTCATCCCGCACTTTTGCATGCTCAATCCGGTCTCCTTCAGTGCCAGAACTTCCAGTCCTGGGACCCTTTCCCATTGGCAGCAGGGGAAGGACAGGATGATATTCCCACTGGGGTGAAGGAAGCAACCCCCATACCTAAACTGCTGTTGTAGCTGTCCCATCCCACCACGTCCACCGTGGTCTTGATGGAAGGAATGTGTTGGACTAAAAAAGGGGAATTCAGCAGCAGTATCTCCAAAAAGCATGTGTGTCCTTCTGCACCCATCAAAATACAAACACACCTGATTCAGAATTTATTTGGCTGCAAAATTTCCTCTTCCCTCAGGGTAATTTCAAATTGATTCAAGTCACAAGTTGTCTTTTCGACTCCAAACTTTGACATAAAGATATCGATTGAAAATGAAACTCCTTTCCCTCCTTGAAAAGCAAAACAAACTCAAACAACCTGGACCTTTCAACTTGCCTTCAGATAGGACAACGGCATACTTGCAAACCAGCTTTCGTGAAGGTGTGTTTTTAGTAGCAATGATTCTATGATTGCTGCGTAGAGGATTTTTATATTTGAGACCATTGTAACTTAGCTTTAACATTTGGTCATAAGCAGGAAGCCACAAACTGTCTTGCAGGTGAGTGGGGGACTCGAGTCAGTTGGTTTCTTCATCCCCCAGCTAAGATGGAAAAAAGCAAGAAAGATGAGAAAACAATAGTATTGTGAAGAGCTTTGGGATAGGAGACCTAATGCAAGGTGCTGTTTTCTAGGAAGTTGTGTGGAACTAGGAAGTTCCTTTGCAATTTTATTTCAGGACAGGCAAAAAAGAAAGTTATTTTGCATGACCCTCAAATCCAGAGACCGTTCTCAGGTGGGGAAGCTATTTTCTGGCCATTCATTCACAAAGCAGTAGACCCTTGTGCCTAGCCCTAGATTGTCATGGAGAAACATTAAAATGAGATATTCAAAGAGTAAAAGCTGATCCCTATACTGAGAAACTGAGAATTAAATGTCTGGCTTGGACTGTAAAGGTCTTCAAATCTATAAGGTGAGAAATGTGGTCATTTTGAGCAGAAATTCCATCCAACACTGACAATTTTTAACAGGATTCACTGAAACGAGCTTGCTTCCATAGAAAAGTGTAGTAACAACAACAGCAACAACAATTAATAATAATAACAATAATGGCTAAGCAAACTGGCTTTCTCCATTAAAAATAAAAAAGAAAGAGTAGTTTTGTCCAAAAATTCCCAGCAGGCTGAAGTTAGGCCTGTATCTGTGGTAGCAGATATGAAAAAGGCATACTGAGGTCATCTAATCCAGGGGCCAGAAACCTTTCAAGGGTTGAGTGCCAGACTGGATTTTTCTTCCCTAGCAGAAGCTCAGCAGTCTCTGTCTCTCTTGAAGGAGAGTCAGCTTATAGGTGGGATCCTGCCTGTCAGGATCTAAACCATCTGCAGCAGTCCAGCTGCACTCTCTGGGATTTATCCTCATAGCTCCTCTCCCAACACATTCATGATTTAAATGGTTTTGCCTTCAAAAAGACCCAGTGGTGGGGTTTTGGCATGTAAACAGACCTACAGTGGGAGTAGGGAGGTCACCACCGCGGGTGATGGTCTGATAGTTTTTGTGGCTTGTAAGTAAGCCTTACGCTGATGTGGGGGCATGCTCTACAGCTACACGTGTATCTGGAAGGAAAAGAATCACAGAATCATAGAATCAACCAAGTTGGAAAAGACTTTTAAGATCATCTAGTCCAACCATTACCCCAGTAAAGAAGAAAGGGAAAAGGCCAAGCTTTGTCGAATGAAGGTTTATGGTAACCATACTATCTTTAAATGGATAGGAGCAACTTTCTACTTAGTTTAAGGCTTCCCTATGCTCAGAAGGGGATGGAGGGAGGGATTCAGCTTGCAGAATCAGACACTTGTGTTGGGTACATACACTGGAGGGTCCTCAAAGTCTCTGTGTGCCTATCTCCCATAATAATCACTGGAGATCCAGTCCATGAAGGCAGAAGAGAAGACTACTTCATACCAATCTAGGCACCAGGTTTAGGTCAGCCTTGGAATATCCCCACTTAATCTCAGTTTCTGGACAGAAAGGCATGAGTCACTTCTATTTCCTTTGCCTTCCAGCCCCATGAGGGCATCTTGGCAGCTCTAGTGCATCTTCAGTGAGGACAACCATCCCAAGCCCTAAATTTAGGTTCCTGAATCTTTCAGTTGAATCCCATCCAAGATCTCTGCAGGAGAATAAACATTATGCTTCACAGCACTGGGCATCTGTAAGAATTTGAGACCAGACCCAGGTTGTTCTGTTTCCTGAAACCCAGAATCTACCCCACATTCCCTCTCCCTGGATTTCTGAAGCCTTTTCCCAAGTCCTCAACCACATCTGCAGTTTAGGCAGCTTTGATCATTTCAACACAGAAATGTGTCACAGAGAAACACCTTCGCCTTCTGAGCTGCAGTTTGGTGCTGCAGAGCCCCTCTTCTTCAAGTAGCCTTGAGTAAAGGTGGAACAGTTTCTTCTGGAAGAGAGTGGCTGTTCCAGAGGCCTTTTCTTTCCAGAAGTGGAAATGCTTTCAATTGTGTGGAATGGTCTTGTCTTCACAGAAAATTTCCTGCAAAATTTGTGGTCATGAAAGATTTCCACATGGGAACAGAGGTGTTAATCCAGTGCCCTGGTGGTGTTCCAGAGCAGATAATGAATTTCTCCTGGGAACATCTCCCAGACCTCTGAAACACCACTTTGTCTTGATAGAGTCAGATGAAGCCTTGAGCATGTCAGGAGGACTTTTTGGAATATTGTCCTGGTCCTTCACAAGCACACCTCTACAGACCAATGCAACCAGGGCATAAATCCTGTCTCCAGCAGTCCTGATGGGCAAGGGGGAGCTTGACCTTCCATCCCTCTCTTCTTCCAGATGGAGAGGGCATTCTGTCCTTCCTTGTACACCAAAGTACTAAAGCCAGACACTTTGGCAAGAAAGTGCCCTTCATCCATCTAGCTGGTATCAGAAGCCAGCTTCAAGCTGCATCTTTCCACATCACAAGATTCTGCAGTGGGACTGACAAGGGGGTTTCTTCAGCTGCTCAGTGTCAGTTTATTGACACAAAGAAGAGTATAGGTAGGATCAAGACATAATAGTCAGAGCTTCTTTTGTGACAGGGTCTACTCCACAATCCTCCACCTTCTGCAGCTTTGCCTGGCCATCTTGCCTTCTTCACAATCATGTAAATGATGGGCCTTTATACTCCTTTTTTGCACTCTTCAGTCTTTTGGGTTTTGCTTCTACCTTTGGATAATGAGGAAGTGGTCCCAAAGGGTCCAGGGTTGTAAGAAAAGCCATTAGTATGGAAGAAAGAGAAACATTTTGATCAGATTTTTTTTTGGAAGAAAAACATGTAAGAAAGCTTTGTTGAAACCAAACTTGTTTGCTAGGTTTTTTTTTTATGGTTTGTTTCATTTTCAGCAAAAGTTTCCACTTCTGATGCAATAGAAAAGCCATCTATGATGATTTTCATTTCACTGGAGTTTCATGTTTTGTATCCCTGTGATGTGCAATGTCGTTATAGCTCTGACTCACTTCCAAGGACTTGGGTAGGAGGCAGCAGTCATTCCCCAGATAAAAACCCATGCTCTGACTTTACAGTGCAGCTTCAGGCAGGGCTGTTCTTGCACCAGCTGGCTTGTGGCAGGCTCTGAACCCCTCATACTCCCATGGAGGTGTGAGCAAACACAGACAGAAGGACCAGAGCTGGTTTCTGAGCCTGTTCTGGGTCTCATCTGGCTGTCCCAGATTTTCACTGGGGCACAAAGGCTTTGCAGCATCCCCACCACAGGGTTTCTCTAGGACCTATGTGGCTATTGAGTGCGGTGCCAGCACTAGAAAAAGCCCTCTCAACAGTGAGCCAGGCCAGCACATCCGCTGGAAAAATGACATAACCCTGTCACGTAATCTGGAGTTCCTCCTTTGGGGCAGCCTCGCTGGCTGGGGCCGTGTGAGAGGAGATCAAAGGGCAGCACAGGAAAAAGAAAGCAGAGCCCATAGAGGGAAAAACACCCTCAGCCACTGGCCAGGGAGTAATCGCAGCCCTCGGTGGACTTTGGGAGTTCCCATTCACGGGAGGGATGGAGACACACATCCTCCTCTGGCTCCGAGCACTGGGGTGGGTGCGGGCACAGCGTCCTCCTCCATGCCTCTCCCACCTTATCATTCGCACTAGTGTGAGATGAGATTTGGCCCCCCTTGTGCCTGGTGCTGTTCAAGCTCCATGGAAAAGATGATCTTGACCCAAAAGAACTTGGGAGACTGTGGTTGCCCAGGGCAGTGCCACCAGCATCCCCCTCCCCTGCATTCTTCAGCTGACTTCCCACCCTCACCGACTTCAGAGTACCTGGGTTAAATACTGGAGATGGATGAAGTAGTGGGAGGGAGGTGAAACAGCAAGAAAAAGACACTAAAATTGACAGGTCCCATGCCATGGTGCTGAGGGATCTGCGCTGGGTACATCCTTGCACACAGACACTGGGGTAGCCTTGCAGCCTGGACCCTTTCCATCCACCATCGCTACCCATCCCTTGCCACCACCTGCACCCCCAACCATGTCCCCCCAGCCCAGCTCCTGGGGTCTGCCCACCAGTGCCCACACTGGGGGACTTGTATTGCCCAGGGTTTGTGGTTTCTGACCCCTGACTTGCTGTTGCCACTGGAATTCCCTATCACTCTGTGACTCAGCTGACAGAAAGGGAGACAATGGCATTTTACATCAGCCCAGGCTATCAGGAG